GTCTGGCCAATTGACTGGAAGTGATTCATCCACATTTACTCCCAGTCCAACAAAAGGTGATACAATAGAGTGTGGAAATATCAGACAATATCACAAATACCACATACAAGCAAGATCCTACTGAAGATTATAAAAAAATGATCGTAACAGTATATTTACAAAGAATTGCCAGAAGTGCAAGCAGGGTTTATAAGAGGCTGTGGCATTAGGGTCATTATGTGTCAGATAGATCTTAGGTGAAAGTAGAGAGTACCAGAGGAATGTCTATCTGTGTTTCATAGTCTATGTAAAGGCATTTGATTATATGATTAACAACAAATTGTAGCTAAACTTGAGAAAAATAGGAATCCCAGAGCACTTGATTTTGATAATGCAAAACCTATACTTTGACCAGGAAGTAGTCATCAGAACGGAGCAGGCAAACACTGCATCTCCATTTCTTTTCAATCCACCTGAACAACAAATCATTCAGGAGGCTAAACACTATAAGTAGTAATGTAACATCACAGTTGAGGGAAGATTCATCAATAGCCTACATTATGCAGATGACACAACCTTGCTTCCTGAAACCAAGAAGGACCTGAAATATTTGCTGCAGAATGTGAAGAACTGCAGCCTCCAATAGGGACTGAAGCTCAACATCAAGAAAACAAAGATTCTCACCACTGGGCCAATTGTCAGCGTCATGATAGACAGAGAAGAGACTGAGATTGTTGACAGCTTCAGCTTGCTTGACTCTACAATTAACAATCTTGGTACCAACAGCCAGAAAAATCAAAAGACAAATTACATTAGCAAAGTAACTGTCAGGGACCTCTCCAGAGTACTAAGGGTAACAATGTAAATCTAGAGACTAAGATGCCCCTGATCCAATCCTTGGTCTGCAATTACTTGTTATGCATCACAGAGCTGGATTAAGGATGACAGAAGAATTGATACCTTTGAGTTGTAGTGCTGGAAAAGAATATTGAATACACAATGGAGTGCCCACAGAACAAACATAACTGTCTTAGAGGGTGAAATCATGCTGTTCCTTGGAGGAAAGGATTTTTAAACTCTGTCTCACATACTTTGGGCACATGGCCAGGGGGGATCAGTCTTTGAAGAAGGACATCATGCTTCGAAAGGTGGAAGGACAGAGCAAGAGAAGACCCCAGATGAGATGGATTGACAGATTAACTAGAGTAATGGGGGTAGGTATATCAGAGACAGTGAAATTGGCTCATGATCGAGCTTTGTGCAGAGCTATTATACATGTACTGTTAGTCACAAGCGACTTGATGGCACATAACAACAACAATATGTTTAACAGCTAACACAAATTCTGAAAAATTTAAAAGTCATATTTTACTAGAAGGCCTAAGATTGAGTTTTGTTTACCCAAATATGTATGAGATTTTAGGGAAAATCATCTAAATATCCAAAGTTTGGTTGTAGATAACTAACGCCAAATGATAAAATAATTAATAAAAGAGATACCTATATTATTCCAGTGTCTTAAGCAAATAATTCTCAGTATTTTTACACTCACATCACAGCTAAAATGTAGACACTAAGAGAACAGATGCCCCGGAAGGCTGTTCGACGTCTCTGTCTCATAACCTGCCATGAGGCACATGTGATCGCTGTGGCTATAATTAGCAAGGCTGAAGAATTACCAATAAATGTTTTCACTTGGAAAGGCACTTTTTTGTCTATGAAGAAAAACTCTCCCCCCCCCTTAAGTGTTTGTTTCTCCAGTGAATACCCTGTGTCACATTGTATTTTCAGGATCCCATGCATACCATCTGCAAGGTGTTTTCACTGAGATTAATCCCCAAGGATAAAAGAAAAAATCCAAAAAACCCCCGTTTGGTTTCTTCCACAATAGAGAAGATAAAGATTTTGGGCTTAACATAAACATCAGACAAGCCTTTTACCGCTGATCTGCAAAATAGCATGCTCTATAGTGCAATAATTCAGATTTATTGAACTTCATCTTAAGCAATTGAATTTTTGTTATCGTTTTTTGAAAAATTAACAATCTCTGAACAGTCCCATGTAAATGCTTCTTACTTTTCCCCATGATATACCCAGCTAAATAATATTTACAATTTATTTCAATGATAGGACATACATGTCTTCAAAACAATTCAGTTAAAATAAAATCAATACTTCCCTACATCCTCAGGGTCAACAAAGTTCAGTTTAAATGGTGGTTTTATTCAAACATACTTTGAGTCAGAGACAGAGATAACATGCCCATAGAATTACAAACCTGCTTTACCCAAAGTCATCAGACTTAATGAGTCTGGACCTTTGTTCCTGTCTAACAGACTAACACTGAGGGGTCAGTGAGTGCTTCCTCTGCAGGTGTGCCAAGACGTCTGGGGAGCTATTCATTTTAGCAGTGCTCAGTCCCAAAGATTGTACTCAGTATTTTTATGAACATTAAAACCACTGTAAAATAATACATTATTATGCAACTTCATTGCCAATATTTGGTAAAGTAAAATACCTTAAGTTCTTCCGAAGGTTAAAAGAAAAAGAATGACTTTTTCCTCTCCTTTTCTGCTGGCAGCAGGCTGTAAGGTTTGTTTCCACCCTTGTCTTTCAGAAAGTCCCTCCCCTCTTCCCCTTTTCTTTCTTTTTCACTTTAACTCTTTTCTATGGTGTATCTTTCACCAGCTATGTCTCTGTTTTATTGTTTTGATAAACATTTCCCATTTTTTTCTAAAGAAAAATAAATAATGATAAATAAACTAAAAAAATGGCTTAAATTTTTTATCTTCAAATTAAACAGTACTGGGTTGTACACCAAGGCTTCAATATGTTTAGAAGCCTTAATGGAGGAGCATTCCCTGTGTGGTGGGCAATCGCTGAGCGGCTACCCTCAATGTTGGCAATTTGAATACACAGGTTGCTCTGAGGGATATAGATGTGGCAGTCAGCTTCCGCAATGATATAAAATGCCTTGGGAATCTTAAGGAACAGTTCTACTTTATCCTATTACTCTCACTATTGTCATCAGATCCAATGTATAGCTGGTTTCTTAGAGGTTATAATGTGTATGAGAGATGATTGCCAATTTTTTTTTTTAAGGATTGCCAATTTTTCCCTCAGAGCAGATGGTAGATGACCTGCTTGCCTTTGAGTTGGTAGTGTTAACTCCTTACCCATGAGGTCACCAGAGTTTCTTCTCTTTCCAATTCAGTCACTATAAGTTGGAATTTGACTTTTTAGCAATGAATTTCATTTCTTATTTTCACTATATATATTAAAAAATCAAAGAGAATTCTAAGTAGAGAAAGATACATTCTTAAATTATTTTTAGAGAAAAACATGCTTAGAATTTTAATAGTGAATTTATACAGCTTGTATGCATTTAGTTCATATAACTCCTGGCCACTGAATCAGAACTGACCTATAATTGACCTTCCACTGGGTTTTTCTGATTCTGTAAATCACATGAAAGGAGTTTGCCAATCTTTCTCGTGCAGGCCACTGGTGGATTTGAACCACCAGAGGAATCGTGGCCTGTGGCCTATGGGCTAACAACACAGCTCTCTCTCTCATTTTCACTGAGATAGCACTACCTCGTAGCTGACCTTTCAGTGAGTTTTCAGAGGCTATAAGGGGAGCTCTGGTGATTACAAAGCTGTATTGATGTAGCAAAGACACATGGTTCAAGTCCACCAGCTGCTCTGAGGGAGAAGGCAGGACAATGTCCTTCCATGTGCTTTACTGTCGCTAAAAAGCCCCTGAAGGCCAGCTCTGAGTTAGTTCTGACTTGATGGCACACACCAACAACAAATCCCACTGAAGGAGATTGCCTATCTTTCTCCTGTAATCACTTGCCTTTAGATTGGCAGTGCAACAACTTAACCACCACCTCAGAGTCTCCTTGGTACCTTGACTCCCTGTGCTCCCTTCAAATGCTTGACTAAAAATGAAAGGGGGGTGGAGTTACCACTGATTTGATTCTACCTCATCTGACTGTACTGGACAGTTCAGAACTACTCTGAAGTGGCTCTGATTTTGATCCCAGTTTGTCTCTCATGAATGTTATGGCTTTGGGCTTTACTCCTAGGTCTCTGATTCACCTTGAGTTGATTTTGTGTATGGTGTGAGATGTGGATCCTATTTCACCTTTCTGCAAGTCGAAGTCCAGTTTTGCCAGCACCATTTGTTGAAGAGGTTGTCATTTTTCCCATCTGATAGCTTTTATTTCCTTGTTGACTATCAGCTGACCATAGATAGCTGGGTCTATTTTTGGGTTCTCAGTTCTGCTCCACTGTTCTATGTGCCTGTACAATTTGGTGAAGAGGGTGAGGGAAATGGAAAGAATTTGTTCTTGAAAACAATGTATTCAAGTTTTGTAACTAAACTAGAAGAAAAAAAATTTTAATATAAGTGGCTCTGAAGCTGTATTCTTTATAGAAGTGGACTATCAAATAGTTCTACAAAGCAGCAAGTGGGTTCATATCACCAACATTTTGGTTTCAGCCACTGAACCAGACTCCATTCTGTAAAGTAATTTCTGACTTCCTGCAATCCTCCAGTACAGAGCAGATTCACCAGTAGAGATTCCAAAGCACCTCAAAGACTCTACAGTAGCAGACTCTACATAAGTAGAGTCACCCCTTAGGGTTGATAGAAGCAGACTGCTACATTTCCCCCCATGGATAGCTGTTACTTTTGAACTGCAGCCAAACAATTTAACCACTGCATCACAGGGTTCCTTCTATATTTACAATTGACTCATTACAGATAAAAACAAACGAATAAGTGAAGTATATATATTCCCATAATCTGACTTGGGAAAGATGTCAGAAAGTCTCCTTTCCAACCTTTTTAAAGCTTCTACAGGAGACCTTACACACCAGGTTACTATGCCCATTTACTTCCAGATCTTTCAGTGCATTTTCTATCCTCTGGTTCCACTCTGATGATCAGAAAGAATGAACTATCAAAGCAGCATAGTACCTGATTTTACTTTTCAAAGCTAGAATAAAGTGTACCTTGTTTTTCGTCGTTGAGTCTGGAATCTTAGCGTCAACTGTCCTGGGTGGCAGTAAAATCTGAGTTGGATGTGATGTGACTAGACTCAAAGGGGGAGGCTGATCACGGAAAACAGAGGTGAGGCAGAGTTGTACCGTCTCTTTCATGGCTTTAATCTGAGACTCCTAGGGAAAAAGAAAGAGATAGCAACTGTTTCAAATGTGGTTCTGTATGATTTAACGGCGCTCGTTCTTCCACACCTCTACCTCACACGTCCACATGTACAATCAATTTTCAGAGTTAATTATGAAGTATAAGCACAAAATATTCACACTGGATTTTTTTAAAGCAGCAGGAGATCAGGAGACTTATGGTTATGAGTAAGTTTGATGTCCAAAATACAGAAGAAAAATGATGTCATTTTGAAGACTAGGTTGAACCTATTTCAGGTCATGGTCTTTTCAATACTTGCTGTGCATCTAAGAGCCGAACAAAGAATAACAAAAGAATAATTAATGCCTTTGAATTGTTATGTTGAAGAGTGCTGAACATTTCATGGACTGCCAAGAGAACAGCTATGTCTTAGAAAAGGTGCAACCAGAATGTTCCTTGAGGCAAGGATTGTGAAGTTTCATCTCTAATACTTTGGGAATGTTTCTAGGAGAAGCTATTCTTGGAAAGTGATTCCATGTTTTCCAAGGTGGAAGGTCAATGAAAGAGGATGCTTGGAAGCGTGGAGGGACAGTGCAGGAGGGGAAAGCCCTCTGGGAGGTGGATTGATTCAGTGACTGGGGCAATCGGGATAGGTGTGTTGGAGACAATGAGATTGGCACAGGACAGAGCAGAGTTTAGGGCTGTTGTACCTAGGTTTGCTGTGAGTCGCAAGTGACTCAACAGCACATAAAAACAATGAAAATAATATTTTCTTAAATTGTCGATGCTGTATGTGTCATCTTGTTGGGACCAGGTTTTCGGAGGCAGTTAACTGCACAGGAGAAGACTGTCCATCCTTCTGCAGAGCAGCAGGTGGACTCAAACCACGTGCCTTTGTGATTGCAGTGCAGATTCTTGCCACTAGGCCAGTAGAGCTCCTTGTAACACTACCATAATATTCATATGCTTAACATAACGTACCACCACAGTTCCTTTCCATGTACTGTGCCAGGAATATATGCTGTATCATATATACTGTATCTGTAATTTATGAGGTCTTCACTTGAATGGTTAACTTCTTGATATTTGTTGTTATTGTTACATTCCATTAAGTTGACCAAGACTCAGAGCAACCCTATGAACAACAAATCTGAATCTTATCTCATCCTATCCTACCCCATCCATCCTCAAAATCTCTGAATGTTGAAAGCCATTGTCACAGTCACTGTGTTAATCCATCCTGATTAAAGTCTTCCCGTCTCTCTCTGACCCTCCACCTTTCCCCAGATGATGTCTTTCTCTAAGGACTGGCCTCCCCTGAAAACATTTCCAAAGAAAGTGAAACACAGTTTTACTATGCTTGTCTTTGTCGTTGCTGTTAGGTACCATCAAGTTGAGTACGACTCACAGCAACCCTACGAACAACAGATCTGAATCCTGTTCTGTCATCTGCCAACCTTACAATCTTTGACACCTTCAAGCCCATTGCTGCAATCACTGTGTCAATTCACCAGGTTGACGTCTTCCTCTCCTTTGTCGTCCATCCACTTTTCCAAGCAGGATGTCCTATTCCAAGGAATAAGTAGCTCTCCTAATAACACATCACCCTTGCTTCCAAGGAGCACTCTGGCTTTTCCTTCTTCAAAACATATCTGTTGTTCTTTTGGCAGTCCACAGGATATTCAATACTTTCCTCCAACATCTCCAACTACTCAAGACATCAAGTTTCTGTTCTGTCATTCTTATTCATTGTCCAGTTCTTAGATGCATAGCAAGTGATTAAAAAGACCATGGTCTAAATAAATCAGACACACCTTATTTATCAAACTAACCTCATTGCTCCTTACTAACTTGGATAGGTTCCTAACTGGAGACTTTCCCAGTGCCTTATATCTCCTGATTCCCTGACTGCTGGTACCAAATATATGAATTGTTGATCCGTGTTAGATAAAGTCAGCATCAGTTTCAATTATATCTCCATCTATTATGATATTACCTATTGATCTAGTGGTGAGAAGATCCTTGCCTTTAAGGAGCACTTTAGTTGCACTTTCTCCAAGACAGATTTATTTGGTTTTTTTGGCATTCCATCTATATTCAATACTCTTCTCCAAGACTATAATCCACAGGTTTTTATTATATCACCTTTATTTATTGTTTAATTTTTGGATATATAGGAAGCAATAAAGCATACTATGGTTTGGATCAGGTACATTTAATTTTTAAACTGACATCTTTGCTTTTTAAGCACTTTGGAAAAATCTTTGACAGAACAGTTTCTCAACACAAGACATCTCTTTATTGTCAACAATTTTATTTTTCTTGAATACACAATCATGATGGCATAGAAAGTTAAGAAATTAAGAGATGTCTTTAAATTAAAGTGTTGTCAGCACTTTACAACTATAACAACTCATCCCCTTAGAATGTACCATGATTGTGCTAAATGCTGAACTTTGAATAAACCAGTTAACTTCCAAATAGACAATATCCAAAATCATATATCTAACTAACATATCTATCATGGTGTGGCCTATTAGTCCAGGGGTGAAGATTTTTATATTGATATAGAATCCATATTGAAGGCTGTAGCTTTTTTTAATAAGTTATTCAAGTGTTCATCCTTTCTGCAAAATTGTGCTCTTTGTATAATGCAAGTTATTTATAAGTCTTCATACAACTCTGATATTATATTCTTCTTAATGCAGTCCAGTTCTAATATTACCTACTCAGTATACAGATTGAATAGGTATGGATAAAAGATATACCTCTGATGCACATCTTTCCTGGTTTCAAGCCATATAAGTTTCCCTTGTTTTGTTTGGATAACTGCTTCTCAGTCTATCTCAGGTTTCACAGGAGCACAATTAATTGGGTTGAGATTCCCACTTTTCTCAATGAAGTAGACTCATAATTTATTATAATATAATATAATATAATATAATATATATAATATATAATCTAGAAAATCAAATATTAGGGAATCACAATTCAGCGTCTTCATAATAGACACTCCTGTGCTTAGAAGTCCTTTGTTGTGTACAACAATCTTGATTATTTCAGGTAATATTAATAACTATAACAGCAGTCCATTGGATAACCTCTCAGTCATTTCAATAGACAAAAATTTCAACTGTAATAGAAGCAATCATAAGTATATAAGGCACAGGACAGTGATGCAGTGAAAACAGTCATTTCACAGGCCTCTTGTTAGTCCCATCCCCACCACCAGAGTAACTGTTACATTTTTTTCAAAGGAAAAGGAAACTGAAGCGGGTTCTGTTTGGAGCCCTTAAGAGAAAGACTTGTGTGTGAGTAGCCAGTGAAACACTGAGGAGGCAGCAACAGGGATCAGGGTAACACTGGTTTGACTGCTCTCCTCTAATCAAGAATTCTAGTGGGATCAATTATTGAAGTGGAAAAGGAAATCTGGAGGCAGGATACTACAGCAAGGGTCTTGAAACTCTTCATCCTCTTTGATAATGGCTACTTAACTTTTCTGAGCAGATGTTAGCTCAAGGCTATATATCTCTTACTCCAACACACACACACACACACGCTTGCCGTTCCTTAACACCAGTAACATGCTGTTTGATTCTATGGAGTCTTCTCTAGTACACAGAATCTAAGGCATTAGCTGGGAGTATATAGGGGACAGGTACAGGGAACATGGGAATGGGCTATGACCCTCACTGATTAGCTTAAGCCTTAAGCCTTATGGATACTTCCCAACCCTCAAGCTGGCAACTATTTCTCCAGTCCCACTGCTAGGCCCAAAGAATGCCAGAATGGCACCCCCAAAGTAGGATCTTGGGGTATATAGCACAGTGGCAGTGAGGGATCAGAATTTCTGAGGGTCTACATCTGCATTTTCCTTGCTAAATAATCTGATTTTGCATAACAACTTAATCTTTGGAACCTACCCATGACTGTAAGTGTGTAGTAGTGTATTTGAGGGCAACTTTGTATGCATACATTTTTCTTAAAGAATAAATACATTCTTCCTGACAAAAGATATTCTTTCCAAAAAATAACACAATCTCTAGTTTCTTATCTCCTGACAAATGAAAAGCAGAAGATATAATTTACATTTATATAAATTCATTTGCATTAAGACACATCTACAAAATAGGGGTAATACTAGCTACGGGTATTGGAAAGATCTTAGTGGAAGTGGTCCTGTGAATATAAAGGCTCTGCCATTATTTTGCTTCTTTTGTAAACTCAGTATTGTTGACCCTGACAAATCATTCAAAATGTCAGAATCTCTGCATTGAGCAATCTCCATGTAATTTATAATAGGATGTCATTCATCCATTCAGTCAGAGAAATGTTAATTTACCTGTCCCATTCAGCTATTTAGCATATTCTTACCATATTCTAGGAGCTGTATTGTTGCAAAAATAAGTCTTGCTCTGTTACTACTTAATTTTGGGTTTCTGTGTAATTTCTATAACACCTGTAATCTATAATGTAATATGGATGTAGCAACGTCTTCCTTGTTGTATTGTATTAGAGTAATAAATTTTAAAAAAAATGAAATTGTAAAAGTTATATTTTCTTTTTTTTAAGTTATATTTTCAACTGAGGAGGACCTGAAGCGCTTGCTGCAGAGGGTCAAGCACTGCAGCCTCCAATATGGATTGAGGCTCAAAGTCAAGAAGACAAAGATTATCACCACTGGGCCAATGGCAGCCTCAGGATGGATGGTGAAAAGATTGAGATTGTTCACAGCTTTAGTTTGCTTGGCTCCACAGTCAACACTCTTGGCACCAGTATCCAGGAAATGAAAAGATGCATTGTGATGGGAAAGTCTGCTGTTAGGGTCCTCTCCAAAGTACTGAAGAGCAATGGTATCTCTCTGGAGACTAAGGTGTGTCTGATACAGGCCATGGTCTTCACAATCACTTGTTATGCATCAGAGAGTTGGACAATGACTAAGGAGGATAGAAGGAGAATTGATGCCTTTGATCTGTGGTGCTGGAGAAGAGTATTGAGAATACCATGGACTGCTAGGAACACAAACAGATTCGTCCTAGAAAGGGTTAAACCGGGATTCTCCTTGGAGGCAAGGATTCTGAGGCTCCATCTAACATATTTTGAACATGTTGTAAGGAAGGACCTGTCCTTGGAGAAGGACATTATGCTTGGTAGGGTGGAGGGGCAGTGCAGGAGAGGAAGGCCCTCTATGAGGTGGGTTTATTCAGTGACTTGGGTTAATTGTGATGGGTGTATCGGAGATGGTGCAATTGGCACAGGACAGAGCAGAGTTTAGGTCTCTTGTACATAGGGTTGCTATGAGTCACAAGCGACTCGATGGCACATAACAACAACAACAGTAGTTGATGATAACTATAATTCTTTACTGGTAAGAAAAGAATTAATTCTTTGGGAAACAGACAGATTTTTAGACTTAGGGCTTATTGTTTATATTGGGAAAAAAATTAAGATTTCTTTCATTTATTATAGCATGGTTCTAAGGTGGAGTGTTGGCATATTGCATTAATAATGCTTGTTTGAAGCTTCAATGCACCATTCTTAGGAGTTAGACCTCTGAAGAGCATAATACTGTCTTGCATAAAGATGATGGAAAGAGGTAAAAAGCAATTTCATTAAACTGTCACTGTTATCCATTTTGGAGCGAGATAGCATTTGTATCAAGTTTTCTGGATACAGTTTATGGGCTTCATACTTATATTATAGTACATGAAGTTTGTTGAAATGAACCACCAGTTGTAATGAATCCTTTTATAGCTTACTCTGCAAAAAGAAATGAAAAAAAAAAATCCTGACGATTAGAGATGGAATTGTTACCACAGGTAATAGGTTCCATGATTTGTTCTATGCTTCTTAAAACTGAGCAATTTACATGTGCTAGCAATTACCCACGTGCATTCTTCAATCAACTAAATTTCCTACTGTGAGCTCTGATGGTGGAGCCCATAGAGACTTGCACAGCTGACCCAAAGAATGAGCTTCTATAGTGATGTGAACCCACCAGCAGTTCTGGGAGGGAATGGTGGGCAGTCTCTGTGTTATGCACAGACTTGGAAACACACTGGAGGGTCAGATATGAATCAAAACCAACTCTGGCAATAAGAAAGATGGTTTTCCTATCCTCTGTGCACAGTAAGAGGTATTATAGTCCCCATTTTAGAGTCAAGCAGACAGATTCTGAGAGATAGAAACACAGTCATTCAAGGCAAGAATTGTGATTTGAACGAGTAATTCTGGAGAATTTCTGTTGGACTGCGGCTGTGGTACAGTATTCATTCTCTGTGCTTATGTTGACGCTTGACTCAACACAAAATTATTTTCCATTTGTTAATGTCTGACAAAATTGTGCAAGATACTGAGCCCAAGTCTATATTTCATAAGAGTACTGTACACTGCACATTATTTACCGCAGGATGATGCCTCAGAAGGCATTAAAACCCACTTAGCCACTGACTGGCTGAAGGTACTATCTGATGGTAAATCAGGAACGAAGAGTCAATGTAAGAAAGAGCATTCTAACAACGCTGTATCAATTTCACTCCACAGAAACCACAAGAGAGTGCTTGTTCTTCATAAGCTGGTTGGAATTTCAAACCAACTTTTGTCTTTTTTTACCAAATGATGAGGTATTAAAGTATATTCTCATTTTTAGTCATGTTTTCTACTTTTATGAATGAAGTTAAATGTCTTTCATTTTATTAATAAAGTTCATTATATTACAGTATAAAATTGGAATTGGCCTACTTCTTAACTGGACATATTTTTTATTTATATGCATTTTGAAGTTATATTACTAATACATACTGTCTTGGACTGATATTTTCCTGTTGGATGAAGTTAAAAAGAGTACATTTTCTCATTAGTAAAGGTAAAACAATAACAACAACAAAACCTCTTTGATTAAAACCTATTTTTAGTCCTATCAGTATTAATGCACAAACTATATTTGTGTTTTTGGTTACATAGGTTATCTGTATATATCTTTATTATGTTTTTATTTCAAAGGAATCCTTTGTAAATGTCAGAGTCTGATGATTCCAGTCTTGCTTTTACTATTTAAATATAATGTATAAATGAGTCATTTGTTCTCCAGGTGAGATGAGTATCTTACGTAATAGGATCTTACTTTTCATTGTTAAACATTACATTGACAATCTCAATTTAATCAGGAATTGCTCTTCAGCAGAAAATAAATTAGCATTTTAATAAACCTCTGATTAATCCAGGATTTCCTCCACTTTTCCTATGTATACCTTCCATTCTTTTGATTGAGGACCATATACGTGTTGTGTCTATTTAACTATACTTTCCCCCTGCTCTAAAAACCTTGAAATATTTGATAAAATTCAGTTCTCACATAAAGACTATTACATAATAAAATGAACTAGAAAATATCTAAGTTTTGGAGAAAATCACATTAGATATTCAATCGTAGAGTCTTCCTAATAAAAAACAAATGCTTTTAAAGTCAACCTATTCTATTCTTCTGAATAAACTTAAGGAGAGGGGCTATTTGTTCCTTAAAACATTGTAAGAGAGTTTTAAAAAGAAAATAAAATTATGAGAATTTAAGACAATAAGGGAAATATTAAGAAATTTTAGAAAACACTATGTAAAAAGTTTGGCCACTGTGGAGGCAGATGAATTTGCTCTTTATAAACTCAACAAGGAGGCACAGCCACCATCCACAACATCCACAGTCTGAACCAATTCCTGTGAGACCACTAATGCCTCTCATACCCTGCACACACTTTTATCCATTTTAATGTTAACCAAACTTCCTGGGTTCTTGCTGCTTCCTGGGTCTAATAACCTACTGCAAGGGCCTCAGAGGACTCACAGGATCATACAATTACATAGGTGATTAGGAAAGTTACAGGTTATGATTTAAGTTGGAAATAAGATCTAATTAGTCAGGACAACTTCTCTCACATGCTTCCAAGCCATTTGACCTCCAGCCCTGCAGCTTTAAGTCTGTGCTACCGAGGTCTCTTAGTTCTGCCAAATGTTGCTTCCATCCCTGTAAACTCCAGTCTTTTAGCAAATCTTGGGGAAAGTGACTGGTTCTGGGTTCATGGAATAACAACAATCTCAGGTCAGCTCTTTCACACAGCTCTATTATCAGCTCTATCAATCTTGCATTTTCTAGTGCGGCCTCTGCTGTTCTTCTCTGGGTCCAAGTCTGGCTGGGACAAGAATCTGAGACCCCACAAAATGCAGGCTTAATTATGATTCTTCATTCTTAATGATAGCAATAGCTCCACCTTCTCTTTCTAAACCTGCTCAATTTAAGCCTGGCGGGATGGTAAAGCTGGCCAATCCCCTTATTAGTAATCCACATAACTTATTTGCATGGTTGAACCTGGTCATGTGGAAAAAAATAAAACACAATGGATGGCCTGGGAAAGCCATTTTTATTTTATTTTATTTTATTACTTTGTGTGTGTGCATCGTCAAATCAGATCTGACTGGTACAGGAGGATATTATCCCTCCTTCTCTGGCAGAGCATCTGGTGGATTCAAACCGTGTACCTTTGTGATTTTAGTGCAGCTTCTTGCCACTAGGCCACCAGAGCTCCCCCTGGCAAAGCTATTTTAAACAATAACACACTACAGTACAACTATTGACCACAATTGTTCTGAAATGTATCCCCAGGTCCTTTCTCTATACTACCCTGTCCTGTATGACAGCTTTCTCTTTCTCATATGTGTTTATTATCGAGAGCATTGAATTGAATAGCAACACATAGGCACACATGTTTATATATACAAGTAATATAAGAAAAAGTGAGATGAGTAAACCTTCTATTATTAGGAATTACATAATGATGATGATTATATAACTAAGTGAAGTTTAAAAGAGGACCTTTTCCCTATATTTGGATAAAGCTATTGTAAAAAGCTGAACAAAATTCTTTTCACTTATTTGCATTGCCTTTGTCTAGCAGATTCATTTAAGACACATCTCTTCTTTAACTGATCTTCTTTTAAAACAAAAATTTAAAGCTTATCAAATTCCAGTGATTTTCTTCCATTTACTAAATAACTCATTTATCCAAAATTAAACATAACATCTTTCTTGGTGCTTTTAAAGCATGTTTATTGATGGCTCCCCAATACATAAACACCAACAAAGTGAAAAATGAAGTTACAAACTAGGAATCTAAAATCTGAGTCAATGTACTGGAACAGCAAAACCACAGAAATGTTTGGATTCAAAGAGAATATCAAACACTCATAAACGTTATAATCATCTTTTATGCATGGAAATTAGAACTGGATCAATAAATCAAGAGAATCAGTGAGCATATCTCTAATTCTTTTCTAAAACCAAGTTGTGATGTTTCTTAGATGTAAACTTACCCGATCAAGAGCTGCTTTCTCTAATTCATTTTTGGCTACAGCCAATTTTTGTTCAAGGTCAGTAAGCTGTTGGGCCTGTAAAATGAAAAGAAATGCAAATCTTTTAGTAAATTCTTTAATCTACCTCTATACTCTAAGTACTTGCAGGATTTTTCCATGAATTTTAGATATAAATAGAGGGGTTTTTTTAACTTGTGGGATTCATTTAAAATTACATAGATGGTCTATTGGGTGCTTATATAGTGTTTTCTAGGCAAATGAACACCACAACATCATTGGAAAAATACATTTAGTATATAGTTTAAGCCACAGAAAATGTCTTCTTGAAAACTTTCAACCACCCTTCTCACCTTCACTCTTTTTGTTATTGAATTTTAACCTCATACACTTCAAAGATGCCCATGAAGATACTTGTAGGGGTCCACCTAGGCTTCAGGCCCCCACCCAGACCTGACAGTGGCGGAACTACCCTCTTTGATGCCAGCAAAGATGCTTTCCAGGTTCTCCCCAATTTAAGAAGAGGTTTGAGATATTCATCACCAATAATTAAAGACCAGAGGAGATGTGGAATAAAATCAAGGGTATCTTTTTTGAAGCAACCAAGATTTCATTATAACGACAGAAGAGGAGAAAGAAAAGACCGAAATGAGTGTCAGAAGAAACTATGAAAATTGCATTAGCTCACTGAGAATTCAAAACAAAGAGAAGACATGCTGAAGTAAGAGAGTTGAACATAAGATTCCGAAGGGCATCTCAAGAAGACAAAATAAAGTATTATAATGAAATGTGCAAAGAGCTGGAGTCAGAGAATAAAAAGAGCAGAATTCTCTTGATATTTCTTAAGATAAAAAAAACCTGAAAAACCATTTCCAAAATTGACTTGTAATACTGAGAGACGCCATGGGAAAATTCTTGAATGATCCAGGAAGCAATTAATAAATAAAAAGAATAGAAAGAATACACAGAATAGCTGTACAAAAGAAATAGAGATACCATTTGACCCAGTAGTCCCTCTACTGGGAATATACCCCAAAGAGACCATAACTGCTATCTAAGCAGATATACGCACACCCATGTTTATCTCAGCTTTGTTCACAATAGCAAGGAGTTGGAAACAACCTAAGTGCCCATCAACAAATGAATGGTTAGAGAAGCTGTGGTATATTCACACAAATGATTACTACGCTGCATTGAAAAACAAGGAATTCATGCAATATTATTCAAAATGGGTGACCCTGGAGGACATTATGCTGAGTGAAAGATCTTAGTCACAAAAGGACAAATACTGTATGGTGCCACTGTTGTAGAATGAGGCTGACATCAAGGTGGGAGTAAGACTGAGAAAAACTGGATAAATTATGTATACTGCATTGAAGCCGATGAGGGAGAGAACAGTTTAAAAGTAATATATTTTAGGGCATTATGATTATCCTGAGAGTCTGGAATGAGGGTTGCAGAGTGGAGTATACTCAATGAAGGAGTTTTTTCTTTTGCTTTTCAAAGAGAAGAGGGAACTGGGGGTGGGGTGGACAGGGAGAAAAGTGCAACAATGAATGAATGGAAATCCAAAATCTCTGTAGGTGTTCATTGAAATTAATTTTAAAAAAAAGTAACGAAGACCAGGAAAAATAAAGGAACAACAACTGGATAAATTATTCATACTGCATTGAAATAGATGAGGGACATAACAGTTTATGATAGGGTATTATGGTTATCACAAGAGTCCAGAATAAAGGTTGCATAGTGGAGTGTACTTGGGGCAGGGGAGGGAGATGGGGAGATTGTATACCAATGAAAGAATTTTTCTTTTACTTTTCAAAGAGAAGAGCAAACTGGGGGAAAGGGGTGGGCAGGGAGAAAAGTGCAACAATGAATGAATGGAAATCCAACATCTCTGTAAATGTTCATTAAAATTAAAAAAAATTAAAAAAAAAGAGATGTAATCTTGAAATATAAAAAAACCTCAAAAGAACTGATTGACAATGAAAAAATTCAAGTAGTACCATATGGACAAGAGCCAATAGTAACAAAAGAAGACAAGCTACACTGAAGACACTGAAAAAAAAAAATAAGGCCCCAGGAATAGATGGAATACCAATGGGCACGTTACAACTAATAGATGGAACTGTTAATGTGCTAAACATTCTGTGCCAAGAAGTTTGGAGGATAGCTCCCTGGATATATGTTCCCATTCTCAAGAAAGTTGATCCAACAGAATGTACAATTTATTGAAAAGTATCAATATCACATGAAACTGAAACATTGCTGAAGAGCATCCAAAACCATTTGTCAATCTGGGTTTAGAAGAGGTCATGGCACCAGGAATATCATTGCTGATGTCAGATGGATCCTAGCTTAAAGCAAAGACTATCAGAAGAATGTCTATTTATATTTTACTGACTTTACGATGGCATTTGACTCTGTGGATCACATTAAAAAGAATGGGAACCCTAGAACACTTAATTGGCTCATGCAAAATCTATGCTTAGACTAAGAAGCTATTGTCTGAAAGGAACAAGAGAATACTGTATGGCTTTAAATCAAGAAGAGTATATCAGGATTGTGTCCTTTTCTCATCTTTGCTCAATCTGTAGCAGAGCAAATAATTTGTGTAGCCAGATACTATGAAGAATATGGCATAAGGATTAGACGAAGACTCATCAACAATTTACATTTTATATAATACAGTTTTGCTTGCTGAAAGTGAATGAATAGGACCAGAAGTGCTTTCTTGGAGAGTGCTTGCTCTCTTGAAGGAGATGAAAGACTACAGCCTTCAATATGGATTGAATTTCAACATCAAGCGAACAAATGTCATGAGCACTGGACCAACAAGCGACCTTATGATAGATGGAGAAAGTATTGAAACTGTCAATGATGTCACATATTTCGATCCATAATCAACCCCCTTGGTACCAGCAGTCAGGAGATAAGGAAACATATTGCTTTAGAAAAGTCTGCTGTCAGGACTGCTCCAATATACTGAAGAGCAATGATGTCAGTTTAAAGACTCAGGAGTGCCTGATTCAGGCCATGATATTTCCAATCACTTGTTATGCTCTGAGACCTAGACAGTGAATAAAGATGACAAAAGAAAAAAAATGCCTTTGAGTTGTGATATTAGAGTCAAGTACCTAATATCCCATGGACTGCCATAAGAACGAAAAGTTATGTCATGGAAAATGTGCAGCCAGAATGCTCCTTGTAGGTAAGGATGGCAGAGCTGTGTGTCTCATATTCTGGACATGTATCTAGGACAAGCTATTCGGAGATATCATGCCTGGAAAGGTGGAGAGTCAGAGAAAAAAGAGGAAGGCTCTCAAGAGAATGAATTGACATTGTGACTGCAGCACTGGGTTCAAGTTCATCAGAGATGGTGAGGTTGGAACAGAACAGGACAGAGTTCAGACCTGTTGTTTACACAAACACTGTGAGTCATCCTTGACTTGATGGTACCTAAAAAGTATGTGAGACAAACCTAACCCATTATTATCTCCAAGGAGGACTCTTGGAACACTTTTCTCCAAGACATACACTCTTTGTTGTTTTGTAATCCTCAGGTGTTTAGCACTCTTTTCCAACAACACAACTCAAAGGCATTGATTTCGTGGTTTGTTTTTTTAAAGTTACTTGAAAAAGAAAATTTCCCCTAAGCAACGTACTAGTTTATTTGCTCAATTAGCTTGTTTCCTGTAAGTGAGGTATTTGTCAAGAACAAGACAGTCTAATACATTTATTTTTAAGAGTGTGCATTTGATCTTAGAAATCATCAAAATTCATTCACCTTTACCATCAAGTCAAAGATGACTCTTACTGACGTTATAAACAACAAATCTGAACTCTGTCCTGTTCTGCTCCATCCTTACCCTCTCTGATGGACTTGAGCCCACTGCTACAGTCAGTGTCAATTCATTCTGTTGAGAGTCATTCAAATTTACTAATCAAAAAAAATCTTACACTTGCAATATAGATGAAACAATAATCTGTGTACTTGTAAACAAAACAAATCCCAATCTTGAAGAAAGTCCACAGAGTCTATAGCTAGAAAATCAATCTAAAAATCTAGAAGGGAGAATACAGACTATGGGAGAGAGGTTATATTAGTGCCTGAAATCTCAAATTTTCATTTCTTTCATTACTATATTCACATGCTTAGCCATGCTACTCTGTAATTCTTGTACATCAGGAAATAATGTGTGTTAGCCTTTCTCTTTGTGCTCATTCTTTTCTAGGCAACTTAATTTGGTCAATGTGATTAGGGAAAAAAAAACCCCACCAAAACAACAACAAACAAACAACAAATCAACCAAAAAAAAAAACCACACCAAAAACCAAATAATTTTGCTCTTCTGAAATCAGGTTTGCTTTGCTGCTCTTCTGTCATTATTACAAGAAAGAAATTACTGAGGTAACCTGCTGGAAAAGAGTTTCCTCAGTTAAGTTTGTGTGGATTAATCTCAATTTAAAGCACAGCCCTTTTTCAACTTACTGATAGGTAAATAGCCTGTGACTATTCAAAGCTATGCATGAACTCAGCCAAGCCACATATGTTTGTAATATAGTGAATAATTTTTGTTTTCCGCCTTGAGGTTTTGGGTCCATTTGTTTCATAGCAAAATCTAATTGATACTGATATGGTTGATCAAGGAAGCTGGCCAGAATAAGTTATTTTAAGTATACACATCAATGGTAACAATAAGCAAATCAGGCAAAAATGAGACCACATTAACATGTTGCTGCACACTTTTAAATTGACTACAGTGCTTAGAAACACATTTTGCCATCATTTGTAACAACGTGTTAAGAACTGGTGGCATAGTAGTAATAAGCTGTACTGTAATCCCAAAGGCATGTAGTTTAAATCCACCAGCTGCTCCACTGGAGAAAGATGGGCAATCTGCTTCCCATGCAATCTGCTGCCTCTGAAAACCTACTTGGTCAGCTATGAGTTGATTCCAACTTGATAGTAAACAACAACAAGAAGGTAGAAATAAACAGCATTTTGCATTTTTAGTATTTTGACTCATAAAATTTAGTCCAGTGTATCCAGACTTTATTGAATAAGGGAGAAAATG